GGCGGCCGCTTCGCTCTGCTCCCTTCTCAGGGCCGGCGGGGGAAGTTGGGAGCAGACTTCTCCGCACATGCATTAGAAAGTGATAGATATGCCCCGAGACTTTACTTCTTTCATTCTTTCCTTCTTTCTCTCTTTTTCTTTTGCTCCTTCCTTCCTTGCTCCTTTCCTTCCTTCCTCCCTTCCCTCTCCCTTCTCTCTCCCTTCCCTCTCTCCCTCTTTCTTCCCATCTCTCTCTTCTTTTTCTTCCTAGCCAAGCTGAGCCCGGACAATTTCTATACATACACAAATCCACCTCCCCAGAGAAAGTTGCCCCGGTCGCGTTTCTGGCAGCCCTTCCCAAGCCCCGTTGTGAGCCCTGCCTCTGCTCCCCGCTCCCCTCCACCACGGGCGGCTCTCCGGTCCGATGGGATGCGCCGGGAGCTGGGTCGGGGAAGGCAGGCTCGTTTCCACCGCTAAACAAAGGCTGGAAACGCAGCAACAAAGGACCTGGCGCGGCCCCTCCGCCCGGTGCGAGAGCCGCAGGTGAGGGCTGGGGCTTGCCCGGACGGGCGCGGGGGGTCCTGCTTGCGGAGCAGTGCTTAAATCGGCGCGGGGCGAAGGCGCGGGTCTGCAGGGCTTCAGGAGAAACTGGTCGTAAGTTGGTGGGGAAACTCTCTCCACCTCATCCCCTCTTTCTGGGAAAGCCATGAAAACGGGCGAATTCAGTTCTCTCTCCTCCTGTCCCTTTCGCAAAGAGGGGCTCGCTTATTCCCTTCCTCCGGCTAGGAGCCATCAAAGCCCAAGTTCGGCGCCTAATTAAAAAGAGTGGCAGGAAGACTCATTCCTCTTTAACATCAGCTGTTAATGGCCTTGGAGTATACTGCCTCTGAGGAGGAAGACACAGAGGGAGAGGCAAAGGGATGGAGTATGCGGGGAAACGGAGGGACTGAAAGAAGTGGGGTGTCTCTAAGCGTGGTGGAGGAAGAGAAGGAGAGATTAAAGGAAAAGGAGAATTTTAACTTATAAAAAGAAGGTGGAGGGGGCGGGGAAGGACTGAACTGTGAGCCGACATCAAATCCCTCCAGCTTCTCTGGCTATCTCAGCCGGGCAGCTCGGGAGGGATGCGGAGTCAGAAGGCAACTGTGCGGGCGCGGGGGAGTGGCGCGCAGAGAGGAGAGAGGACGAGCGGATCCGGGATGGAGGGATGGACGGAGGGAGGGAGTATTTCCGAGCCCGGAGCGCTGTTCCCGGGTGCCTGCCTTGCCTTCTCTCTCGGACCCCGGTCTTTTCCCTCCTTCCTCTCCTCTCTGAGGTTTGCAAACCAAACGTCACCAATCAATACGAACCCCGGCTCTGTGGGTGCGTGTGTGGGTGTGTGTGCGCGTGTGACCGTGTTTGTTGATCCTGACCTGCTGGACTTCAAAAATCTGCCTCTTCCGACTCCCTCCCAGCCTGTAAGTTCAGAATTACAACCTTCTACATCTATTCAAACTTTTATTTATCGGAGAATTCCTTTCTCTAGGAGAAAGAGAAATTGTCACCATGTGATCAGCTAATTTCTGACACACGGGGCTTTACCCCTCCCCCAGCATGGGGAAAAAATATCTCCCCTGGATCTCTTTGAACTGTGCACAATCCATAACTTTGGCAATGTATATATAGTGCTATTTCTGCGAGGCAGTTTTCCAGGGTTAGGGGAAGTGGTTGCATTCTGCTAAATGGATCCTTTGTGGTGAGTGCAGATTTATGCCCAGTTTTGATTTATAATTAAATTAGCTTCTAATTCGCAATATGTGTGTCTGTGTTTAAAACGTATCTAATCTGTGAAATTGAGGACGGGGGCACTTTAAATGAAAATCTACCTTTCGCCTCAAGGGTTTCTTTATGAAGGGATAGCCGGGAGGGCAGCGTGCAGCAAGAAAGTGAGGCTGTAATTTCCATTAGGAGATGTCAATCAATCCCTCTTTTCAATACATCAATTAATAAATCCGATTGGTGCTGGAGGCTGCTCCCCCCGGGCACTGTTTCTGGCCGGATGGGGAAGTGTGAGGGGAAGGCGAACTTTGGCAGGGAAGTCCCCGCAGGCAGAGCCCGACCCGACCCGCCCCCTCCCCTTCTCCCCCGCTCCGGCCCTGCGCGGGGCTCCGGGACGAGCTCCATCCTTCGCGCGGCGCTGGGGGCGGCAGGCGAAGCCGGCGGGACTCTCCCTGTCGGCTCTTGGGATCTGGCAGAGCTAAATTAACACAACTTGGTGAGATACGGTCGATTTTTTTCGACCCAACGGTGGGGGCGTGCACACGCGGTTAGATCCAGGCCCGGGACCCCCCGTCTTAGTTGATTTATATTTAGGCTTCACTTACTTAAACGACCCTCCCCTCACCGTCCCGCCCCACGCAGCTCTAACCCGGGCAATAACATCATCGGTTTGATTGGTTATTTTCCAACAGAACCACAGCACCTAGCTTTAATTTTTCACAATTAAAAGGAGGCCGGAATGGTGGGGAACTCCCTCCTCCAGCCTGACAGCTCGCCCTAGCTCTCCCTGCTGTTAGCGTGCGCTCCGCACCTACAAATTATAGGGGAAATGGGGGGAAAAGGGTTTTTTTTTTTTAAGGGCAAATGCAGTAATGCTGTGGTTTCTCCATAACTTAGCAATTACACAGATTCTCCTTTATTTTCAAGTGGCGCTGGTAGTTCAGCAGAACATCACCGTGATGGGCAGGCGGGTGGAAGCCCGAGGACACCCCGGCACAGGGTTGCCCGGTGCCCACATGAGGAAGGCTGTCCGACGGGGACAGGACAGGTGTGTGGAAGTGGGACGGCGCCGGGACAGGGCGGCACCCAGGTCTTCCGGTTGGGTCTCTGCCCTTAGAGCTTCACAGTGAGGAACACCCGACAAACAAAAGTAATTCAATGTGTCGCCTCTCCCTGACAGCACACACACGGTATTTTATAGAAATCCGACTACAGAAAGGGCTGACTTTCCTGAACCCACGACCGATGTAAAAAAGACGTTTAGAGGGAGGGAGACCATCCTCAAACTACTCCGTAGTCATTGTCATCATCAAGCCTGTCTATTTGATTTAAAAACACCATGATAAGGAGCACGCTCTCACTGAACGCTGTCTCCTCAGCTTTCTTTTTCCCCCCTCCCAACCACACAGCTTTGTACTCTCAGATTTGCGGGCTGCTGTTGTCGGTTTGAGTTGCTTGGCACAAGCATCGTTTTGTGTGTCTCCAGCGAGAGGGGTAACGCTGGGTGAACAGAGGGCTGCGAGCAGGAGCACGGGGACTGCGGGGCTGAACTTCGGGAAGGAACGAAGTAAAAAGAAGAGAGAGAGAATGAGAGAGAGTCTCCCAGGCAGCTTGATCCCATTAGCTCCGTCCTTGGGTTGCATATTTATACGGTCTAGGAGGTGAACAGATGGACTATCAATTTAATTCCATCTTCAACACCATCAGAGATTGATTTTCTACTCGCTTTTAATTTTGCCATAATTAATTAGATCATTACAACTGTTTTCTATTGATCTCCCTATTTAAACCTCAGATGCAAAGGGACTTCGGCAGATCCTTTAAAAGCACAGGAGGGAAAGGGAACAGAGGGGGTTGCAAACTTTCTGAAGGTTTTTTTTCTAGTTTTAACTTAGAACATTTTCGGTGCAGAATAGCGAAAAAACGTCTCTGTGGCCTTTCCTTTTAGGAGGCCTTTTTCGTTGCCTTTATATTTTTCCTTTGCGTTTAGGTGAATCTTTGTCATATTTATATATAGTATACAGCATATATAATGGATTTAATTGATTCGATTACGAAAACATAAACTTGCACGTGTATATGCGCCTATATATTCACATACAGCATGTTTAATATTGAGATTTACAGAGATGGTGCACACACATTTATAAATGGGGAATCTATCGACAGACGAGATGTGGCTTTCTGAAGGGCAAATATTTTTATTTGCCTCCCGTACGTGTTTGTTTGTGTCCCTGAATTCCTCTTTAGATGGGGGATATTTCACCCAGTCTGGTGCGACTCCACCAGAAATGACAAAGGAAAACCGGCGCTGCCAGCTCCGGTTCCCAACCTCGGTTCCCAGCGCCCGCCGCAGCCTTTCTTTCCAAGCCTCCCCTGCAGCAAACGATTAGCAGCCGGGGCAACAGCACGGCTCTGTGCTGGCAGTCGGTGACGTTTGCATTTTAAGCCACTATGTCGTTTTTTTCCCAAAATCTCTAAATTAAGAGCTCTGTTTATATACGTAATTTGAGGGAACCAAACCGCGTAATTATGCTTTTACCGCGAGCGGCAGCGCCGAGGAAAACCTCTCCTCTCCGGCGGGGTTTGTTTGAAGCTTTGTTTGCAAATCATAAAATTGCTGACTGGGAGCATGGGGCGATCCGAAGACCCATCCGCCGGCGGGGCAGGTTTGGGGGGCGCAGAGCCAGCCCCTCGCTAGGGGGGGACGAGATGCCAGCCCCCGCCCGCCGCAGCCCCGCGTCTCGGCTCCGCAGAGCCCGGCGAGGCGCTGGGCTGCCGGAGGGGCCCGAGGCGGGGACAGCGCAGCTCCAGAGCCACCACAGCGAACAAAGTTTCGCGAGATGGGGAGGGAGTAGGTGGGGGAAGAGTTTAGGCAATGCCCCGAACTTTCTGCCGGCGGGAGGGAGCTCCGGGATTGAGGCAAATAGACAAAAGCCGGTGGTGGGGTCTGGCCCGGCCGGCGGGGGCGCCTGGAGGGCGGCGAGGCGGGGGGAGCCGGGGCTCGGCCGGCTCTCCCTCGCGTCTGGGGGCTCCCCTGCGGGTCCTTGCGAAGCTCCCACGGTGGGAACCCAGCCTTTCGAGGTGGTCTGGAGCGGGCACCCGTAAGGAAAGGGGATATTTAGCAGGTGTTAGAGGGGAATCTGGCGAGGCGAGGAGGGGGTGTGTGGAGGAGAGCAGAGGCAGGCTGCCTCCTGCCAAAGGAGGGAGTTGGGGGTAACGGTCTCATCCCTCCCTGCTGAATATTCAGCGCCCCCCCGCCTTACCTGCTCTCCCTGAGCTCTGAGCCATGGCTCCTCTGCCTAATGGCCCGTCTCCCCGGGACGGCTGCAAGCCAGTAGATCTGCCGCGGCCTTTTCTTCGCTTCTCTCCTCCCCGCTTGGGTGTCTTGCTTTCCCCCGCTGACTTTCGAGATCTAGGCGCAACCACCCAAAACTAAACGGTTTAGATAACAACACACACACACCAGAGCACCACCACCACCACCACCAAAAAAAAAAAAAAAAATAGCCAGCCACAGAGAAAGAAACGCCGCTCTACTGAGCCGGGACAAGCTAAAAGGAGGGGAAAATAAATAACAATCAAAGCAAGTGCAGCGCTGCTGCTTATAAAAGTGGAGAGGGACTCACCTGCTCCAGTCTAGCAGGGCTATGCAGCTAGAGAGGAAAGGGGCTGGGGGATTCTTGCGGGGATCCTGCAGGAGGGGGGGCAACGCCTGGACTTTGAATCCGCTTCCCCTTGCCCCCTTTCTGCAAACGGGCTACCTGTAGGGAAGTCTTGTTGCAACAGCAGATTAATTTGTTGTCTTATTACCATAAAAATGTGCTCGGAGAGGGGCTGGCAAGGGAGAGGGGGACGTGGGACAGAGGAGGAACTTCCTCCAAGTTGAAAAGGGAGGCGGTGGGCTCAAGCTGAGGGGGAGCGCGTCGGGGACGAGGCGGGGGGGTTAGTGGGGCAGCCCACTAGGGAATGACAGCGGTCATCTCGGGGGCCCAGGCAGACTCCAGATGGGGTGGCGGGGAACGGGGGTTCCACCGTTTACTTTAGAGGGGACGGAAGGCAAACCTGTGAAGTCTACCTCTGTGAGCACCTAGCTTTGTGCTTCTGAGAGGTTATCTGTCTGCCCATCAGTCCCTCCGTCCCTCCGTCCACTCGTCTTTTTCCTTGCTCCTACGGCTACGTTTTGGTACAGGCTTCACGACTGAAAATAAATAAATAAATAAAACAAAGCTCCAAAGAAAAGAAGAAAAATTTCCAGTGCTAAAGACATCACTGAACGAATATTTTTCTTTCTCTCATTCTACCCCTCCCTTCCATCTCCCCATTGATTGAAAGTCTCTCTCAGCTCCAACAAGGAGTCCCAGGAAAAATGAACCATTCTGCTATCGATTCTTCATTAAAATTACATTTCTGCATTTGCTAAATTGGTTTTAAAAAGCTTCCCCTGTTATTATTGTCTTGTCAGAGCCGGCGGTGCTGGGCAAACAGTATTTAAAAGCTTGGGACCTCTCCAAGATGAGGCTGTTGGGGGTTATGTGTGTGCATATGTTTCTTTTTCTAAAGTGTTTAGGAAAATGCTAACAACGCGGATTGGAGAAAAGCATGCCCCAGACAAGTGGGGAATTGAAAAAATTCAAGGAGGAGGGAACGCTTTCCTTCATATCACTTAAAAATCGTCGATTGTGTCTTCAAGCAAGGAAAAAGAAACTTTCATTTTAAATATCTAAATGGAACACCAAAAGTCAATAATTGCAGCAACGAGTATTTGCCTCAGATGCCGTCTCCAGCCCGCTCTGCAGCAGCCGCTGCATCTGTCTGGAGTGGTTTCTCACCTCCCTGCAGCCTGAGCCCTGCTCGCAGCCGCACGCTCCTGCCGCGCTGTAACGTGCTTCCTCGTGAGATGTTTAAATAAGTCCAGCTAACCCTCACACACGAACCAGATTCTTCCGACCTAACCCCAACAAACTCCACGGAATCCCCGTCCTCCCTCCCCAAACTGGTGTGAGAAAAACCCACGAGGGACTCTGGGAGATTTACTTTGAATTCCGCAAATCTCTCTCGAAAGAGCAGGGAAGCAGAAATGTCTTCCTGATGTGTTTATCCCCTAATCAGTTCATTAGTTATAAACAACATGACATTAGAAGTTAGGAGGCAGTTGATATTAATTTTTATTTAACTAGTTGATGTTTAATCCGTCACGCCAGACTGCTTAGAGAGAGCTGCCTGACACAAACCAGTTAGAACTTCATACACCGCGATGATCGGCCGGGCACCGGGACAAACAAACGGCGGCGGGGGGGCGAGGGGCAGGGAAACTGAAGGGAAGGGAGTGAGGGGGAAAGGGGCAAACCCGGGAAAGAGGGAAAAGCAGCAAAGGAGGTTGGAAAATTCCCCCCTTCACTGGAAAAAAAAAGGGGATGTGTGAATCGGCAGAGAGAGGGAGGTGGGGGACGAAGCATGAAAAACATCGCCAGCAGGCTGAGCGGAGCGGGCCGGCAGGAGCAGGTGCCCATGCCAGTCTCCCCTGCGGGCGAAGGGGCGGCCTGGCTGGCGGCCCGAGGGCGCGGGGCGGGCTGGGCGACCGGGCCGGGGCTGCCCGGGGGCGCGACAGGGGCGGCATGCGGCTGCGCGCCGTCGGGCAGAGCGAGGGGCGCCGCCGAGAGAGTCCTCTCTTAATTAAAAGGGGCGCCGGATAATTAGAACGAGGCTGGCCGAGGGAGAAGAGCAACACGTGGGGGGCCGGGACAAACGGGACCCGGCTTCCTGGGGTGTAACAGTTCCCTTTGGTGACAGACTGCGACCCTTAACCAAGCAGCGCAGGTGCTACTGCAAATAAAAGGAGTGAACGATTATGGGTACACTTACGGACACGTCTCTTACTACCTTAAACCCGTGCTGAAGTATTATCTAACTCGAGTCTAGAGTGTTATAGACTTCCCTATTATAATTTTTTGTTTCTCCCCTTGCAGCAAATTGGTGCCATAGAAATGGTTATAGCGTACCTGTTTGGCTCTACACCATCTTTATATACGTGAATCTCTACTCTTTACCCACCGACCCTGCCGACATGGGGGCTCTCCCCCCCCCCTCCGCCTTTGCTCCCGAGGGGAGCACCGAGCATTATCCCAACACCTCCCCTTTCTGCGGCGGGACCCCCCGCGGGAGTGGTGCTGTGCGCTCCCCATGTGCCCTTTCGTTCAGCACTGTTCAGAATTTATTAAGGAGAGCTATTATAGCTGTATCCACAATTTCACAATTAAAGCATTTATTGGTGAAGCAGGAAAACCCTGGGCAGCAGCTCAGTGCAGTGCTTGCCCTGGACCCATGTTCCTCCGTGCGGCAGTAGCTGTGCGGCTGTGACTATAGGGAAAGTGTTCCTGCCTACTACCCGTATTTTAATATCAATTTCCATATTAATCAATCACCCCAAACATCTATCTGCTGGATAAAGGAAATAGTTCACATTCCGAAGAAAATTGCCTGCTTTCCTGCAGTTAATAGTTAACTCCGGAATAGAAAGTTCCCAGGGAAATGCGGAGGCAGGGGGAGCGTGGCTCTCCCTGCTCCCAGACAGCACCGGTCACCACTTCCCCCTGGCCGCGGCTGCTCGTACCACTCGGGAAAATCTCCCGGCTCCTCGGCTGCGGGCTCGGGCTACGGCTGCCCGCGCCTTTTAGTAAAAAAAACCGAGACGGAGTGTCTTAAGGAATGAACTCCTGATGGAGCTGTGATGTACAGAAGGGAGGCAAGTAGGTTCTTTCCCCATAGACCGAGACAGAAAGTGGCTGCAACAGGTAACAGGGCAGACACCAGCGACACGGGGAGCAGGAGCGCTTTCCAGTGGCGAGGGGAAATCCACACTGCTTGGCTGTTTGGCTTGAGAAACATCGTAAGGAAATGCGTGCCTTTCCCTTTGTCCGACGTCTCCTCTCCCTTTCTCTGAGGCAGGGTGTGCTTTGAAGGGTGCAGAGGATATTAAAGAGGGGACATGCCGAGGAACCGGCGAGGGAGATGCAAGGGCAGAGTCGAGGCTGGACCCTGGCCGAAAGCTGTAGCGCTTGTGGCCCGGCCGGCAGCCGAGCACGGGCGGGGACGGCCCTTTCCCGAGAGTTTCGGGGTGACTTCAGAGGTGCGGGATGTCCGTGTCGCTGCCGCTCTGCTCCGCACTGTTGCCTTAGTGCTGACCTGGCCACCTGGTGCCTTTTGGCGGTGATGGTGGAACTGGGGAGGACACAGGGTGGAGGAGCAGAGCAAGGAGTGGGCCTCTCCTCTGTTTCAGAGATGTCCGCAGAGCCTGTGGGATAAGCAGGAACACTTCGAGCTACAGAAGTTGGAAGAATGCTACTGGCACAGGAGGAGGCTGCCTTTCCCGGGGCTGGGCTGGTGTTAGAGCGGCGGAGTAGGAAGGGGGTTGCGAGAAGTGTGGGGTGGGTGGGGTGAGTGCCTGGGAGGCGGTGGGTTAGGGTTGCCATGGGATGGGACCCGCCTGGCCGCCTGTGGGACGCACTCGCAGGGGCTCCCTCTCCGAGTCGCTCCGGCGGGGTGTCGGGGTGCTGGTGAGGGGGGTGGGCTGGAGGGAGCCGGGGGAGCTACGGCAGGAGACGTCGGTGCCGCGGCCTTGGCGTGAAGTTGTCGGACCGGACTTGGCGCAGGGAGAAGCGGGCTGGGCGGGCGTCCCGATGCCTCCCGGGGACACCAAGCCCGACCGGCTGCGGGAAGCCGGATTCCCGGCCAAGATCAGGACGGGAGTTCCGGCACCGGCTCAGGGGGAACCCCGAGGGGCACGCAGCCCCCTGTCCCGGGGCGGCCCCGGCTCCGTTGCCGGCGGGGCGGCCGGGCCGCGCGTCCCGCCAGAGGGGGCAGTGCAGATCGGCGGTGACGGGCACGGGGTTCCGGCCTCTGCCCGGCCAGGGGGCTTCTGCCCCAGTCCCGGCGGAGCCCAGCAGCGTTAACCCCTCGCTGCCCTGTAGTGACGCTCAGATTCAAGAGAGCTTCCCAAAATATTTCCACGCCCCCACCCGGTCATCCCGGCCGGAGACGGCGGCTGGCAAAACCAGACGAAGTCTCCTGGGGTCCGGGCTACCGCTCCCCTTAAGCGGGGCCGGGGGCGGGCAAGAATACTCTTCAGGGGGTTGGGGACACGTCGGTGTGATCTCTTCTTCCTTCTCTAGTTCAACGCAAGTTTCTAGCTCAAGGAAGGGGACCCAGCAGCCAGGCGACCTGTGGGTGCCCTGTGCTTAAGGACAGCCTGGGCCCGGAGAGGCCGGGGAGATGCCCTGTGGCTCGGTGAACGTGGGGAATCACTGCGTGGATTAAGGGAGGAATGAGAGAGGGGGACACGCAGGCAGGGGACTCCCGCTCGCCGTTGCCAGAACTGAAGAAAAGGAAAGGAAAAATGGAAGATCACGTAAAAACCATGAGAGGCTGGAGGCACACAGTGCGCCCTGTGCAAAAGAAGGTGAAAAGTGAGATGGAAATGAGGATGAATGCACAGACAGAGAAATAAACACTGATTTTTACTAATATTGGAGAAAAAGGACTGAATAAAGAAAGAGATGTTTAATTTGATGATGAAAGGGAGATGGATGGATGGATAGATAAATAGACAGAATAGATACAAAATTTTAAGGTGAAAAAATAGAATACATGAGAAAAGGAAAACAAAATTGTGGAAAAATCCACCTTTCTAGCGTTTATGGGCAGAAATAAGGGAGTGAGAGGGCAGAGGAAGAGAAAGGGTAAGAGAGGAAAGGAAAGGATAAAAGGAAAAGGAAAAGAAAAAAAGTAAGAAGAACAGTAAAGTGGTTTTTAAGAGCCGTCAAACAGTTGGTAGGCATGAGAATTAGAACAGAAAAGCAGAAACATTTATGGCAGCTGCGCCGAGGCGATTTCCCCATTGGCATTTTATGGAGC